ACTATTTCGGGGTAATTTTTGAATTATTCAGCGACGACGACGTCGACGTGGCGGATCTCTGCCGCGTCCTACTTCGCGACACGAGCTATAGCAGCTCTCTTTATACATATATATCGCGCTAAGCGCGTAAATAATATAAAGTGCAAGTAATCGGTTTAGTCGCGCGAGCGAGCGAGAAACTTAATTGAATGCCGCGAGTACTGTTTATATATAGTGTACGATATTATCGATTTTGAAACTCTGCAGATTTAGCGCGAATGTAGCTCGAATATAGCGGGGGGGGGGGGGCACTTTTGCGAGCAACGATCGAACGATTCTCGCACCTGCACGACAGAAACGTAAACATTGTGTGTATGGCTTAAGAGTCCGATGACGCGGCCAACGCTCAATCCATTAACTCATGCCATGCAGCAGCAGCAGCAGTTCCGTAATCAGCGATAGTATACAAGTCCAAAGTTCGCCTCGGCAGAAACACGTTGTGTTTGCATTCGATGCTATATACTATATGTATACGAGGGCGAACGAGTCGAGAGCTGCAGTCGTCGTTGTGTTTTATTTATTCTCTTCTTTTTTTTCTCTCCGTCTAGAATATCTCACGTCCGAGCGCAGCAGCTCTTCTGGGCTGCAACGAACTGCACAGCTCGGCGCACAAATGCTCCTCTCGGCTCCTCCTATATTGCTTTACGGTGCAGCAAGTACACACACACAGACACACAGAAAGTAATGCTGAACTTTCTATTTCACCTGTTGACGTTTCAAGTGTGACTCAAATAAAAAAAAAAAAAAAAAAAAAACNCACTTCAAACTCATCGTTTTTTTTTTCACTTCTTTGTTGTACGTGAATATCAGTCGTTTCTTCTTACCTTTTTTTCTACACGTTATGAGAAAAAAAAAAAAAAAAAAAAAATAGAAACGCCAAGCGGTTAACAAGCTGTAAAATGAGCCCTGGCCTAGGATCATGTCTTTGCTCGTTCTTTTCTCATACTCTCCTTCTTTCTTTTTTTTTTACTCTCTATAATATTGCACTTACGGTTCAAAATGAGCTTGTTAAACTCGTGCTCTGAGCTATAGCAGCAGCTCTGGCTTTGCGCGCGCGAGACGAAGAACGACCCCCTTTTTTCCTCTTTGTCACCAGCCGGATGACGTCCTACTTTGACAGTTGCTTTTTGTTACGTCTTTTTTTCATTATTTTGGGAAAAGAAACACTTGTTTTCGAGCGCACGGTCGCTTATACGCACCGCGTGGTCAATTCGCCTTGCAATCGTTCGCGACTCGATGCTAAATATAATATTAAATATATTCACGGAAACGTTATTACGAAAAAGCGCATATGTGCGCGAGAAAAACGTGTCGATTTAACAAAAAAAAAAAAAAAAAAAATTGAAGGAAGGTGCCCGCAATAAACAGATTTTATGCTGATACGCGTGCATGTGCTTATACTCGCTCGAAAACCGGTTCGAGGAGGCATTGGCGATCGATCGTGTGTGTGTGTGTGTGCCTTTGGTTGCGCAATGACATATACCTCGCGCGCGAGAGTTGAGTGCGTTAAAACCACAAACGCGCGCAACGCCACACGGCTATGTGCTCTCGCGAGAGCTCCGCTCCGATCATTCGTAAAGCAAACGACAATATTATTATGCCATGTATGATTGAATATTTCCATGAGCAGCGCAGGCGACGAATTCCACAGAGCCTACATATACGCGAACTCGTTGGGAAATATTTTTTTTTCTGCTCGACTATATATGCAAGTGCTTGGTGTGTATATTATATTATTCGAAAAATTATTATACTTCGGGTTAAACGAACTTGGAAAAAATGTGCTGATTCTGTATTTATACGACTCGTCGCGATTAAAAGTGTACATATAAATCTACGATTTAAAGTGCTATACTCGTAATAAATATAACGTAGCTCTTGAAACGTGTATATGAAAAAAAAGTATTGCCCTCTCAGACCGTGTTTGGTCCAATTATTTTTTGTGCTCGTCTCGACGTTTTATCACGCTTAGAGGGACACTTTTTTCTCTCTCTCCGTCGCAAATTGTTTATTAAATATAAACGAATTGCTTTCAGCGATCCTACCCCATTTGCAAAAATATTCGCTTTTTTTTCTCTCTCTCTCTCTCTCTGTTTTCGTGTGTAAAATTCGTCTATATATACACATCGAAAAAAGTTAAACTCGCGCGTTCGAGCGCAATCAATAGATCTATATTGTAGCAGTAGATAAAAATCTCGCGCTGAAATTTTTACATCAAATATCTCGAGGAAAAAAAAGCACACACAAATACGAAGAAAGCAAGTTTATATGAAAATTGTCGCTCGATTGTCGGGCTATAACACAAAAATATTAAAAAAAAAAAAAAAAAGAAGAGAAGAGAAGAAGCGAGCAATATAAATTGCTCCGCGCTGGGTAGGAACACCACTTCAGGTGCGAGATGAACGTGTGTATAGTAGCAATATGTATAACTGTATATTACATCGCGCGCGCTCGCGCGGGCCATGTCAAAGGAAGACGAATCCCTTTATAACGAGCTGTGTGCAGTGTGTGTGTGTCTGTGCTCAGCCCCCGAGAGCACACTTTATTTTAAACGCTCTAATTTATTCACAAACGCGTGGAAGAGCAGCTTAGCTATTGCTTTTTCTTCTCTCGTGTGTGTGTCTGTGTAGCAGCATCATATGCACGTGTGCTGCTGCTGCTGCAAGCTCGAAAGAGAGATAGCAGCAGCTATACAGCTCGCGCACCGAATCGATTGTTATGTATATATATATGTCGTCATATACGTATGAGCCGACTTTGTCCTAACTCGGTAGAAGTTTTGTGCGGAATCTTTGTTTACTATGCTAACGATATATATGTGTGTGTCTCTGTGTGTGTGTTTTAGAGCTAGCACGTCTTTTGAACGCTATGAAAATTTCCCAGTCTTCGCGTCGTCGTCGCTGTCGGTGGAAAATATCATTATTCATGCATACCATTTCGTAAATTCTAGAAGAGTCATAGTCGTCGTCGTCGTCGTTATCGTGGCTGCGATATTCCAAGTGTTCGTTAATTTTGCTGGAAGCGAATAAATAAAAAAAAGAATCGAACGGCTAAAGAATTCAATTTTAATCGTATCGACGGTAATATAAGTACCGATCCCTGTACACAAATGACCTATACACAACGTTTAACAAAAAAAAATGTCGATAAAGCTATTAAGGATGACAAAAAAAAAAGGGAGAGAGAGAACACGACGAAGAATTTCATCTTTGCGAGATACAAGAAGAAGAAGAAGTAGACGACGTCTTCGTCGTCTTCGGCAGAAAAAAAAATTGTTATGAATTTTTAATACAGAGAGAGCTCCTCGCTCTCGTGTATCACGATTGAACACACGTCAATCTACACAATTTTCCGTATGCATTTATATTTTCTAAAAGGGTTCGTTCTTGTATATTACTCGCTTTACTCGCTTCGCGTCTCTCTCTCTCTCGGCGTGTTCTCTACTACTCGGCTTACGCGCGGGCGCCTGATTGAACTGGGTCACGCGCAAATATATACGCGATTTGTTGCCTTTTTCTATACCACTGCTGATGCCGCCGTTGCTGCTGCCGCTGCTTGGCTGTGCTCTTCTTATACATACACCAGAGATAGAGAGAGAAAATTTGTTACATAGTCGCGCGCGCGATCGTTTTCGGAGGAATATAGGGTGGATTCGAGTCTTTATTTATCTATCCACCAAACCGTATAAGTATTGACATTTCGTTTTTCCGCGTGTGTGTATATACGGGGGGCGAGGGAAGAGAAAAAAAGTTTTTCGATAGGATTGAAAATAATGAGAAAGAGAGAGAGAGAGAGAGAGAGCTTTCGTCGGACCACAAAGCAGCGGTGGTAGTAGTAGCAGAGCGAAAACGAGGACATAGCCTCCTCCAAGATTATATAAACGTGTGTTGTTGCAGAGAGAGAGAAGAAACTCGATCGGATCAGCTCGCGCGATAGGGTTAAAAAGTTCTTTTGTTAAGATACCCAGAAGCATGCGAGACACTGCGAGAGAGAGAGAGAGGGAGATATCTACGAGATTGGGATTATTTCGCTTATAAAGCGAGAGAAAGGGAACCGGAGCAGAGCCGCGCGCAAGCTTCGATATTCACTTCTCTCTCGCTCTATACAATATGTAGTACTCGTGTAATATAAGAAGTCTCGATATAAACCTACGAGCAAGGAAAAAACGTCACCTGTCCGTGTGCCACGTGACACGCGAGACTCGATCAGGCTATCGTTTAAATAAAAATTTTTACGCTCGAGCGAGGCTATGTGTGCATGTAAACTGCACTTCTTACGGTTTATTTTTTCTTTCTCTCTCATTCGTTCGCCGTCGAGCTCTAATTGACTGATTTATTTTCATCCAATTACACACACCCACCTACGCGCGTACAATGGATTATTTTATCAAATTTATTAACGAACGACGTGCCGTTGCCGTCGTCGTGTAGAGAAAAAAAAAAATTTTTTTTCCCCTCAGCGAGAAAAACATGCAAATTTCATTGCAGTTTTCCGCTCTTTTCTCTCTCTCATTCTCTGCGCTGCTCTACGAAGCAAACTTAGCGTGAGAGCTTTCTCGTTAAAATATACGCTCGTCGTCGTCGTCAACCTGCACAGAAACGCGCGCGCTCTCAATTTTCATGCTGCATATAGACGGGCTCTACATAACTGCAGTCAACGCAGGCAGGGGGATTCAGAGGCGCAAGTCGAGCTTGACAGTTCAATTTTACAATATAGTACACGTGCTCTATGTATGTGTGTGTGTGTGTGTGTGTGTGTGTGCGTTCGGTATGGATGATTATGCATCGATGAACTCTCGAGCGCAACGAAGCGAAACGCCACGAGCCGCGCGCGCGGACTCGTATATTATTTTCGATTCCTTGGCTATTACGCTCGACACGCGCACCCACGTTATTATATAATGCTAATTTCTCCCCTATAATATACCACATCACTAATGCATTGCGTTTTTTTCGTTACAGCGCCGCGCCTGGACCTGGAAAATCTCGAGTCGGGCTATCATGGCCTGGTCAAGGAGAACGAGACCCTGGTGGAGGTCACGCCGCAGATACGCGCCCTCGGCGCCAAGGTCTGCAGCTTCCGGATCGCCAACAAGCACCACGGCGACGCCCCCTTCGAGATCGTCGTCAAGGAGAACGGCCGCGCGGAGCTGCGCGCCCTGCGCGTGCTCAACTGCGAGAAGCGGCGCAACTACAAGTTCGACATATCCGCCGTGGCCTGCAACGGCGCGCAATCCGAAAAGTAAGTCTGGCAAGATTGCGATCGAGCTAATTTTCCCATTAGCATTTAAACTGGAGAGTTTAGAGCGAGCGAATTTTATATACAATTATATTATATACGAAATAATAATGCTGTACGTCCAATTGAGTATAAAAAGACAGAGCAGACGGAGTTATACTTCGTTAAAGAAAATTTCGGGAAAATATTATACGAATTATATATACGGCTGCGTTGGAAAGTTTTCCACGTAATAAATCGAATTACATCGCATCGCACGGCGTACGGCACGCGGAGAAAAGAGGGGTAGCAGTAGAAAAACTCGATGATTAATCGTTTCGCAAAAGTTTATATACCCTCTCGAAATAGTTTTCTGAAATTCGCGCGCCGACTTTCCAGAGGTAGTATTATATAGTCCGCGACGACGACAATACGCTGCTGCGGTAACCGAGAATGCCGAAATAAACCCTCCATTAAAAGATTATAATAGCAGCAGCAGCAGCAGTAGCAGCCGATATATACGTGCGCTTTTTACACAATTAAAAAGAGCTCATCCTTTGGCTCGCCGCTGCTGCTTTAACGGAACGCTGCACCGATGGATTTAAAAAAAAAAAATTTTTTTTTTTTCCTCCTTTCTTCCTCGCGGATGACCGAAGGTATAATATTTGTGCCGCGCGGAGTGGTATATTGGTTACACGGCCGCCGCCGAGGTGAGCAACGAGGATATTATAATACACATCGGCGCGCCGGGGATCCGGTGAATTGGGTCGTTCGCAAATCTCACTTTCTATATTACGGCTATGTAGAATCGAGAATATTTCGTTTTGTACGTCGTATATATATTACACGCTAGGGCTTTGCGGAAAGCTATATATTTTGATGCAGATTTTTCATTACTCGAAATTTCTTAGATGGATGCTCGAAATGCTCAACGTGAAAATGACTATTTAATCAACTTGTCTATAGCCCGTTGTAAATGACTCATAAAAACTTAGATCCGTTTTTAACCGCTTTAAATACTACATACTTTGAGCTACCGCCGCTAGATGTCGAGTACCTCCGTCCGTAAATCCGCAAGTGGGTAAAGCGAAACAATCATACAAGTCAAAGTAAAGGTCGTTTCGTAACAACCACGAATCCTCGATCGTTATGAAGTATATACATACGAGTATAACCGTCGCAACTCTGTATCCTTTGTTTTCCAGCGCCAGCGTGCACATCACCGTGGTCGACGTGAACGAGTACGCCCCGCAATTCCTCCAGCCCGCCTACGTCTCCACCGTGGACGAGGGCCGCCTCTACGAGGAGATCGTGCGGGTCGAGGCGTCGGATCGCGACTGCACGCCGAAATTCGGCGACGTCTGCAAGTACGAGATACTGACGGCCGATCAGCCCTTCGTGATCGACAACGAGGGCGCCATACGTAACACCGAGCCGCTGGACTACGAGCGCTCGCACAATTACATACTCAGCGTGGTGGCCTACGACTGCGGCATGAAGCAGTCGGCGCCGGCCATGGTTACCATCAAGGTACGTCGTGTATAGGATATCGATCCTGTGCTTTGTGCATATGTAGCTCGCGAGAGCTAGAGTTGACCACAAATTAGTAGCCGAGCTGAGAGAGAGAGTAAAAGCACGTGCGGCAAGGAGGAGGAGGTAATACGGTTCTCTCGAATTGCTACCCTCCTCATTCAAGTTGTAAATCAATCGATTCGCACGGGGGGTATATAGGACCGCCACTACTACTAGTAACTGCTCCGACTTAACTCCTTCTCTCGCCACGAGTACATGTGTATATATATATATATATATATAAATACGTGCTGTGTACACCGCGATGTATAACGCAACTCGTCGGAATTTAATGAATCGATCGATCGATCGGCAAACTCGAGCGTACCTATGCGCTACGAATCAAAACTACATCGCGGTCTTTTATACACGCGTCATTTATTTCGTCCTCCGATACGCGTCTTTTTCCGCTCTCCCGTATGTTTCGTATTTATATTAATTCGCGATGTGCGCGACGCGCGTTACATTAATTATTCCGAAACATCGGCGCGGCCGTGGAAGTAGCAGCGGCGGAGCAACCCCCTCGAGAATCTCTCACAAAATACGTATCACAGCGAGCCAGACTAACGGTATATATAGAGTCGCGCGAGTCCGCGCGTACTATTATTATCATTGTTATCATTATTATTATCACTGACGCTGTGTGTGCCAGTACCTAAACACGGAGTATAAATGCCAGGCCTGGCTCGANGAGGAGAGCGAGAGAGAGAGGAGGGTAATTTTGGTATATAGTTGGCCCTACACACGTATATATCTCGTGATACGTTACACACTATCTACTCTCGACGCGCGCGCGACACCCTCGACGGCAGGCATGGCTACCTATCCTTTATACCTACGTATAACGTATACAGCGTTTATATGCGCGAGATTTATGATGCCTGCGTGTGTTGCCACTGCTGCTGCTGCTGCTGCTGCTGTCTGATGATGCATCCATCGCGTCGGGGGTTGGCTCACTCTCTCAGCAGTAGCCAGAATTTCTCTCTCTGCGATTTGCAGCTTTCGAAAATTCAGGAAAATATCCTCGCACTATACCGTATACGCGATTCAACCCCAAAAGTTGCACCTCGCTCACTATTTACTTACGTATAAGCTGCGTATCGAGATTAAAAATGAGTCGTAATATTATTGTGGGAATATGTAGGGTGTAGTTTTCGATTCTATCGATAGATGGAGCATTGTAAACTCGCAAGTGGCAACATTTTTTTCGTAAGCTATATTAGGAAAATATTTTCGAAGGCTTTAATATAGTTTTATTCAGTGTTATGAATTAAATGGCAATCAGGCCGAGCGACGAATGACAATTAGCCTCTCGTTCAATGTATCATGAAATATACGCCGGAAGATGATTATCGAACGCTGTACTCGATTCGCAATCATACACATGAAAACGTAAAGGGAGTAATTCCAGAACTGCGTACATACATACGAGGCAATTTCGTTCGTCATAAATAAGTATACGATATTTCGCATTCATAATAATCCCCGTTTTATACGTTTCGCAGGTGAACCGAGTCTGCTCGCCGGGCTGGCGCGGCGTGCCCGAGCGCGTCGATTACGCGGCCGGCGTCGAGGCCCAGCCCGTCCTACCCTCGGCCCGTCTCGAGCTCTGCGACGCCCCGTGCAGTCTGCGCAGTCTCAGGGCCACCCTGACCCTGGCCACCGATCACATCGGCAAGGGCTGCGATCGCGACACCTACACGGTCCGGAGCCAGCGACGTCTGTGCGGCGCAGCCAGGGACAGCATCGATCTGCTGCCGACCCCGGGACCTCTGACCCCGTGGACGGCTGGTCTGTCGCGCGACGAGGGCCGCGAGTCCGACGAGATCTTCGAGTTCGACGGCGCCAACAGCGCCGCCATCGTGCCCGACGACGTGCTCGAGCACAATCTCGCCCAGAAGTTCAGCATCGGCGTCTGGGTGAAGCACAGGCCGAGGCCCAGGCAGGATCCCCACGTGAAGGAGCACATCCTCTGCGCCGCCGATGATCACAGTGAGTATACACGATATTTTCTCTCTTTTGATAACGAGGGCTTGTATAAAAACGCCCACGCGCTCGAGAGAGAGAGACACACACACCTTTTCCGTGTTCACTATATGTACACGAGAGTTCGTGACTTTCTCCGAGTCGCTGTAATTTAGTCTCGCAGACAAAAAACGAGAAGAGAGAGAGAAAGAAAAGCACGCTATTATAGAGGCGCTCCTTCTCTCGATCGCGAGCGCGCAAATTCTAATTTATATATCGACGACGTTAAACGGCTAATGTATCGGACATTTCCGTTCAATTATACGACCACGAAGCGGATTGCGAGAAGTTGTTTCGAACTATTTCGGCGAAACTCGGCTCGCTTTGTCCTGGAGAGCAAAAAGTCTTACGATACATAATTGCAATATGTTATACCGTACAACAGTTATTGTTTAGACACGTGTCGCGTCCTTACAATGCCGTATTTCGCTGCATCGATTCCAATTTTGTGCTTACGTTGCTCCTTATACCCTCGCGAATCAATAATCCAATACCGCATATATGCTAATATCTCGTATCTCTTTTATCTTCTTCTTTAGAAATGAACCGCCACCACTACGCCCTGTTCATCCGCAACTGTCGCCTCATCCTCCTCCTGCGTCGCGACTTCTCCGAGGGCGATCCCGACATGTTCCGGCCGGCCGAGTGGCGCTGGAAGCTGCCCCAGGTCTGCGACGATCGCTGGCATCACTACGGCGTCCAGGTCAACTTCCCGCGCGTCAGTCTGTACGTGGACGGCGACGAGTGGCGCGCCGACAAGATGAACCCGGAGATCATCGACGACTGGCCGCTGCACCCGGCCAAGGGCATCAACACCTCGCTGGTGGTGGGCGCCTGCTGGCAGGGCTCCGACAACAAGACTCGCCATCACTTCCGCGGCTACATGGCTGGCTTGTCGGTCCTCGTGGGACGCAACGAGAAGCCCGACGTGCTGGGCTGTCTGCGGCGCTGCCAGGAGGGCATCCACGTGCCCCCCATGGATCTGCTCCAGCCGGGCACGGAGCTACTGACCAACTCGGACCTGACCGAGCTGCGCATCGAGGGCGACAACAAGACCAACGTCGAGACGCTGCTGCGTCGCATCGGCTACAGCAATTCCAGGCGCTTCCCCACCCCGGGTCGTCGCAACTTCAAGCTCGACACGACCATCGTCTGCGAGGGCAGGGAGGACCGGCCGCTCACCGTGCCCGCTGTCCAGTCCTACGTGTTCGTGCTGCCGCCGCCACGTCCCGGCATCACCGTCAACGGTACCTAGCGCCTTTGTTATATATATACTTTTAAAAAAAGAAGATACGTGATTCTGGTCGAGCTCACGTATACTTGGAAAACTTTTTCCAAGTGGGAGTACGTGATTTCCCAGACGATATAGGACTCTTTTTACATCTCTCTCTCTCTTTGTTCGCAGGCACGAGCTACGTGGCGCGCGAGTACTCGGACTTCCGCGTGGGCGTGCGCGTCTTCCCCGACGCCAAGGTGACCGCGGGCAGCGCCGCGCGCCTCGACGCCTGCGCCGTCTCCGTCTATCCGAGCCTCAATCCGGACCACGAGACTCTGAGTCTGCCCGGCGACACTCTGCGCCGCTTCCACTCGATAAGCGCCCGCGTGGATCGCGACGGCGTCGTGCTCTCGGGCGCCGACACGCCGCACAACTATCAGCAGATCATACGCTTCATCACCTACACGAATCGCAAGCCGGCCTACTATCTCGATCGCGTGTTCAAGCTCACCTGCTCGGAGCTCAGCGGACGCTTCGCCAGCAACGAGTACATACAGACGCTGGCGGTGATCCACCCCAAGGAGAAGTCCACGACGGTCCTGCCGGCTGCGTCGTCGGCTCAGCCGGTGCAGAAACATCACGAGCAGCAACAACACGCGGCTGCTGCGTCCGGACACACGGGTAACGACATCCCGTTGACGCACGTGCCGCTGGAGCCGCAGCCGGGCCACGCCATGCTGTCGCCGCATCACGCCGAGCTCAGCGCCGAGGAGTACGCGACGACGCAGCTGCGTAACGGCCTCGACGGCGGCGAGCACGTAGCCACCACAGGGGGCAGTCACGCCGTGTCCGTGGTGGCCGTGTGCTGCATCGGTTTCCTCGCGATCATGGTGGTGATCGGCGCGATACGCGTGCGCGGCGCCAACAAGAGACGTCGCGCCGCCGGCGAGGAGCTCGCCGCCGAGACCGAGATGGCCTGGGACGACTCGGCGCTGGCCATCACCGTCAACCCGATGGACAGGCTGAACGAGGCCGAGGCCGGCACAAGCCGAGGAGGACACCACGCCGCTGGTGGACACAACAACGACGACCTGGACGACTCGGCGAGCAGCGACAGCGAGGACGGCTCCTACAGGGACGACGAGCTCGACAGCTCGGACTGCGACAACGACTGCGACCTCGGCGGCGGCCGGCGTCACGGAAGAAACTCGCCGGATTACGAGTGGGACCATCCGAACGTTTAAGGAGAGAGTGAGAGAGATGGAGCTGCCACGGGGACATGAAAATGGACACGATTCGGCTGGCGTTAATTTATCATTAAGGTATTATATTTTGATCAGCGTGATTCGCGTGATTTTTCGTGACCCACATCCTTTTTCGGGCAATCAATTTAGTTGCGAACACAGTCGTTATGCTACTTTTGTGAAATATTAACGTCACATTCGCTCGGATAAACTTTAATAAGCTGGATAATCGATTGCATCGAGTATGTATGCGCGAATATTTCATAACGTTCAACTCTTTGCTAAAAGCTCGTGTTTCGTACATTTAAAACAAAGTCAGGGACATTTTCATTTAATTTAAACGTTTTTTTTTACTCCACAGGCATTATGGAGCTTCGCTATGCAAATCATCTACTTGAAACGAGACAAAGGAGCCGTGAAATCTAAATGGATCAATTGCGTAGAGCTACACAGCAGCCATGATGTCTGGAAAAATAATTTTAAGCTATTCTTTTCTAGCTAAGAGAACAAAATTACAAAATTGAAGAATCGTTGATATAAGTTTGCCCCGAGAATTTTGCATGGCGTGAATTTCGCAAAACACTCGCTCTTGCAGATTCATGCCATACACGTCTGCCCCGCAAACACACAAAAATATAAGTGACACTTTGTATCACGCCTCTCCCCCAAAACCATATGTATAGGATATCTTCGAACAAAGTTAAAAATAAAAATGCTCCGCTTCGCGTTTATATAGCTTCAATAAACGAAACGACCGAATACTAATAAAAACTGTACATTCTCTCGTATCGGTTCGATTGGGAGTATCATCTAATTAATGTATCCGTCCCCTTTAGATTGATTTTAATAAAATACAAAGCTATTGTAATGATATATATATACCTGAGACATCGGCGTGTCCGAAATCGTAATTTATGTGCATGGATGAATAGGATAAAAAAAAAGAGAAAGATAAGAAAAAAAAAATTATGCGACGGATTGTGTAAGAGTGCGGGACACGCTTAATCAGCTTTTGGCTTCAACCCGAGCCATAGACGAGTACGACGAGCCGAAAACGCTTCTTTCTGCGCAAACAAAACGTACTCGGCGTTGTAAATCGCAGCGATGATCCTCGAGGTATAAATATATTTACTAAATATCATAATGTATTCTACGATAGTATTTTCTCACTCTTACACTGATTCACACGCATAAAAATATCGAACGTGAGCCGTGCAGGCACATTCCTACTTTTGGATGCGAAAAATAAAAGCCATTAAATGTAATACGGGAAAATATAATGTGGGAGTACGCGAACGAAATTTTTTAATGTTAAATAATATGCTTGCAAAGTTTATATTAGTGCAGAAAATAAGATGAACTGAGATTGCGTCAGAAAAACTAATTATAAAATTAAAAAAAAAAAAAATGAAAAAAAAATAACATTAAAACGTCTATCTTACCATTACGCACGCGTTAATTGTAAAAATTTGAGTTTTTATACACACATTGATGTCATTATCGGTAAAACGATAATGCATAAACATCAAAGACTTTGAAATGCACAAATCAAGTTTTGCCAAAAGAAATGAGACAGTTTTTCTCTTCTTTTGAATATTTACGCCGTTTTGGTTAATTTTAATGTGAACATTGTAACGATACAAATATTACTTTTTAACTTATACATGTCATAAATATAATGCGTTTGTTATTTCATACATCATGACCTTTAATTAGACATTTACGAATATAACTTGCGAGAGAGAACCAAGTTTTCACTCACTAAACCGATAGGATACCGCTAAAAGGCAAGAAAAAAAAGATGAAAATTTTAACGTGCAAATCATTCTGAGTATGTATCATCGATAGCTTCCAGAAATGAAAAAAATTCTTCCTCTTACACATATGATCGCTTTAGTTTTTAAATACAAGAATGTGGCCATACTTCGTACAATTAGATTAAGATTATCGAATGAAGGGAGAAAATATTCGATCAAATAAATGTACTGTGTATCCTATCAATATATTGCCGGGCAAAACAGAATGATGTATATGCCGTTAAAATGCAAACTCGCGCGTACACATACATGTAGTATCGAAGAGAGAAGTGTGTGTTGTCAATTATAATTTACGTACGATCTCGAGTGGCTCGAGATTGATTAATGGCATTTAAAATCGTGTCCTGTGCTGTTGCGTGTATAATGTATAATTATTACCTTATAAAGCATGTAGTGAGAGCGGTGCCATATGTTTTTGTCTATCACTTCAATATCATTTTGGAATAACGCGGGCGCTTTTGAGTAAATTTCAAATGTCATTTCTCCAATTCGAACAATGAAAATGTTATTTTCTACGAAATTCGCAGGTCTGTCCCACTTCAGGTATATAATGAAATAATGTACCTAAAGTAATGTGAAAAATAAATACAAGTTGAAACGACAAAAACGCTATATTCGCGGACAGTATTTGACGTGAGCAAACTTGAAATTTAAAAAAAAAGAAACAAAGAAAAAAAAGTCGCTCTCGTTGTCGAGCAATTACTTGGCAAAACCTGCACTGCGTAAATCCTCTCGTTAGATTGAAAAAAATTTTTAAACAAATACTGCCATAAATTTAATTGCGTGTTATTGAAAAACAAAAGGAACATGTAATTTTAAGAACATCAAACGATATCAAAAAAAACAAATTCCTAGTTACGTGCAGGAACCTCGATAAATTACACACATCTATATTATATGTATTTCGCTCGCACGCGAGCATCGAACAAGTAATATCTCTGCTATCTAATTATTGAATAAAAAGGCAAAAAAAAAGGATGGCGCGATGAGGGCAATTTATTTTTTCAATGTGCAAAGCATATCATTTTTATAAAAAATACGAAACAAGAATAGAGAAAAAATAAACACTTAAACGCTAGGGAGACTCTTTTTGCGCGTCGTGAACCGAGACACAAAAAGATCCGTTTGAGAAACGTGTCGGTAGCTCACGTTGTATTGGCCACACAGTTTAAATAGCGTTTAGCGATACGTTTTTTTTATTCATACGCAATTTTATACATTACCCAGCACCTTTTATATACATATCGGTTCTATAAGAATTGATTTGGCCCTTCGACGTGTATCGAACAACAACAAAAAAAACTTGTACTACCAGCGCGATACAGTGGGGGGGCTTTAAATGAAAGAGTGATTTGAGCTCGTGATTTGAAAAATCGATTCTTATTGTTCAAAATAAAAATACGGTGGTGTACGTGAATACTTTTTGCAAAATAATATTTTTCAAACGTAGTGTCTATATATTACTCGTGTTGTGTACTCTTTTATTTTTCATAGCATGTGTATATAACTAATTGTTTGCTATTCTTTTAAAAAGATAATTCATTTTTTTTATAGCGATGGAGCGCATTGTATTAACTCACGTCTATTTATAATTATTATTAAAATGCAAGCGAGTTTTATTTGTATAAGTCTGAACGAAACATATGTAAACGCGGCACATATTTTTGGTCTGAGATTTATTCTGCAATTATACACTTAGGTGCACAATTTTTTTTTCTCTATACTTCAACAAAACACATTATTAATTATACTAAATAACGAAAGGACTCTAATTTAATGTATAAGAAAGAACAAAACTAGGAAAAGAAATCTTTAAGCGTTCATAATGTACTTAACTAAATGGTGTTATACTGTATAGCTGGTGTAGAACCGAAGCTTCAATGAAATATAAAACAAAAAATTTCGTAATGAATAATTGTTAACATTTATTCTACGTACGGGGTTGGTTTAGGTAAATATAAGGAAATGAATAAATAAAAAAAGACACCCACGTAAAATATAGCAACAAAGATGACGCTGTGAAAATTCTTCAATGTTTTGACCATGATACTCTGCTACGCGCAAATCAAGGGCCACAAAGTCGATCGTTTCTAATTATTATTATTATTAATTTTCTTGATTAATAAAGATTGATGTGTACTTAAAATTTGAGCTTTGATTTCTCTAATGATTAAAAAATATGAATTAATCTGGTGTTGCGAACTGCTCGACTCTGTCATAAAGAATTTGTTGTTGTATTCAATTTTGTGAAACATAATACCGATAAAAATCACGCGTCAGTGAGCAGCGGTTTCAATCACATCAAAATCTCCAACCACAAATTGTAAGATATTCGATCTCCAATAAGATGGGGACAAGATTAGAGAGAAATCGTATATACATAGCTTACACTTAGATTGGTTTGAACGAAAAATTCACTGGCTGTTTTTTCTACTGAATCATAAATTCAATCGATCTACTTTGGATTCCGATCGCTAAATATTTTGTAACTTGCTAAGAGCGAACTCGCTCACACCCTCACACACTCCCACGCAAAATATGATTGCAAATAGATGTCGTTTTACATGAGAATACAAGAGAAATGTGCATTTACAAAAAAAAAAAAAAATTAATAATAATGCACCAAATGCAACGGTTTGTAAATGAAAGGCTAAATTCTCCCCCCTCTTTAACAACACACTTTTGTAAAAAAAAAGAAGGCAAAAAAACTTTTATGTTAATTAGAAGTGATAAATAAGGAATGAAAAAAATAGATAAATAAATAAATATATATATGCGATTCACGCATTCATATAAGCCCGATTTTACGCTTAAAAAAATGACATTATATAGTATGCGTATTTGTATAGTTCTCAGTATTAAATATTGTATAAACATATGTGAAAAACTGAGACTATTCTTTTGCAAAAAATAAAGCTTATTTCCTAGAGTATATCAGATTGAAAAAAAAAGTAACAAATTTACAGCATATATATTCTTATGGAGATGTAATTTGGTTTATACTCAAGAGTAAATTCTAACAGCAATATATTTTAATTTTTCATTTGTATTTCCGAGGCTTCCTCGAAAAGAGATATGTGAACATCATTATTTGTTCGGTAAATAATTAAGAAAAAAAAATGACGTTTGCCCTATGCACATAAGAAGATAGGAATATATAATTAAAATAATTATATCTTAATGACATTCATCTAAAAAAAGTATATATACGTATAAAAATATAAATAATGCTACGATGTCAAGTGTATTTGTTTAATAAAGGTATAAATCCGAAAAATAAGCTATTTCTTGGTTTTTATTTTTACCCTAATCATTCGCCGATTTGCGCAAAAGAGAAGGTGTCGTTGAACACGAATTAAATTTTTTATATACATAATTTTATTTTATCTTTATTCTATTCACAGTGGAAACAGTTTAGTTATATACATTTTTATATAAAAAATGATTCAGATTTGTATTCATACTTAGTATAGTATTGGCATAATTTATGAAAAATTATTTACACTAATCAAAGCTGATTGATTATTAAAAGCTATATCTGCTCTCCTGAATTCGTAGCCCATTTACGATTAGCAGTAACTATGCTAAGTTCATTATTGCAACGAAATCGATAGCGGGATACGTTTGGTTGAATGGCGCCGCGTACCTCAACGTAATTTGGTAGCATTCTTCGTTTAACAGATCTGTTGCAGTTGGCACTGGCGAAGAGTAATCAATTTATATAAAGCGCTCCGTTTCATTAGCGCCTTTGATAAAATTTACACCGTAGCTATAAACGTTTTAGTGCGAGAAAGATTTCCGCAGTGTCATAATCGCGTTAACAAAGTAGTTTTTGTTGTATTAGTCTTAACAAATAATGCAATATCATGTGTCGTCGACGTTGTCGTCGTATCAGCAAACGATGACGGTTGTCTGTTCTCCCTGGCTTGGTAAAAATAATTTTATATTTTCGGCGCTCCAGTGAAGCAATGCACTTTGATACACCACACTCCAAACGTAAGGAATGAAAAATTCTTCTGGTTGCTCTTCTTCTACGTATTTGAACTTGAGTTCCGGGAATTTCTGAAACGTAATTTTGTTGGATTATTTATTGTTTGTTTCAGAGATAAAATTTTTTAAGTAAAAGTATCATACCCTCAAACGATCTCGTGGCCATTGACTAGTGCCTTGTTTAATTGTTTCTAATACATCGGTCACTCCAATTTGAGTATGCTCTTTTTCCTCCAGTTTAACAGAAAAAAAGCTTATTACCTAAAATATAGGTAAAGTTTAGTGTCAAAGTCGAAATATCATTAATTCAAACTTAAAATTGTATTTACCGAATCTACATTCTGAATGATATCTTGGAATGAAGAATGAGTTCTAAATGGTTGGAAAACATCTTTTTTATAAAGTAATGTGTAAATTAAATTTTGATTATGCGCTAGCTGATGGGTTAAAGTACTATTGATAATTTCTAAAACCATCCTTAAAACTTCCTCTAATACTGTTAAATCTTGAATCTGAAATATTGTTATAAATTTAAAATCATTGGGTTTTGTTCATGTAATTTTCAGTACTTACCAAATCAGTGTTTGCATTTCCGTTATTAATATTTATTGCCACTTCAGTTGAAGAAGATTGAGCTCTAACAGTTGCTTCCAGTTTAGCATGTTTTTTGGCCAATGTTTCAAATAAGCTTATTAATCTCTGACTTACATAGGGATGTAATGATCTAAATTGACTTGACATGTTTGCCAGAGCTGCTAAACAATTTGTATGCAAATATCTATCCCTCATTTTTAACATGTTGTATTGAATGGTTCTAATAACAACAAGAATCAGTAGACCTCCAAGAGATATTTCACTGATTGATCGTTCAGTGTACCAGGTTACACCTTTCAATACCTTAAAAATTTCACATTTATAAGATATATAATATATAATTAATTTTCATCATAGTTAATCTCCACATAAAAACAAGATACTCACTGTATCATGAACACTCTTATTAAATGATTCATCTTCACTCAAGATTAATAAAATAATTAGAGACATATAAATATGATGGGAAGTATTATCTGGAGCATTATAAAGTATCTTCAGAATAGGTACTATCTGAGAATTTAAAATTTATAATTATGAAATGAAATAAGGTTAATAAATAATAAAAAATGTAATGAAATAGTTCATACCAGAGATTGCAAATCCAGCCTTTTCATTATGAATTGTTTAACATTAGAGTTTCTGTGAAGCAGCATGTACAGAAGGAGTGTAATTTCATCTGTATTAGGTACTTTACATATTGTCCTATACAATTTTTCTACATTAAATTTAAAAGCACATGGTCCTTCACAAGATGTTTGACAGTTTTCTGATGAATAAAAAATGTTATTATTACTGTGTCCTATTCACACATATTTATTATATTACCATATTATCTTTGTACCTGTAACATTTGTAAATGTGAAGAGCGCCTCCCTGTATGAATTGTGTAAAGAATGCTGCGTGCAATGATTTGTCAAGACCAACAGCAATAATAGGGACTGACTAGCTAATGGAGTATCAGTATCTCGTTTCTTTTCAATTTCTTCCATATTACCACCATGTGATACTGAAACATTCTTAGTACTACTGATTCCAAAAGTGATTACATTCCAGAGTCCAGCTGAAATAAATTTTGAAATTATTTCATTTCGTTTTTTCTTATGAATGTAATGAATGTATGCAAAAACGTACCAGCAATACTGAAAACAATACTGGAACCAGGATGTGGAGCAAGTATACCTGGAGGTGCTTGGGTCTGTTCGGCAAAATTATTTAGCAAAGTGCAAACCAACACTGGTGCATGAGCACGCAATTCTTCATTCATAACAATTCTATAAACTGTACTATATTCTGCAGGAGTTTGAGAAAATAGTTGAACAGATAACAATACTAATAGGCAATTTATAGCTTCTAGATGAACGATATATGTAAATTCACTGAAAATTTATTTGAAGTATAATAATTGCTAGTTCAAATCATAGTATGCAGATTTGATAGATAATTACCACAGTGGTACATCCACCATAATTCCAACTAGAGCCTCAATGAATGATTGTAATCTTACTGGTAATAAGCTATTTGATTCTTCCACAGAAATTTGAGCTTCTGTATGTCTGACCATTTCCTCTTCTCCAACTGTTTCTATAAGATACTTTAAAATACATCTTACAGCAAAAAGTGAATTGAAGGTTTGCCAAGCAGGTACGATACTACAAAAATAAACATGTGTCATGAAACTTTTTAAATAAAGTATTTCATAAAGAAAGCTCAATTGTTTACTTTTCTTGGTCAGGCTTGCGAAGAAGTTCAGTTATTTTGATAAGCGTCACTTGAATGAGTGTGCCAATATTCCCCGTTATTTGATTGTTCACTAACAACTGTTGACAGCACAAATCCAATCTAGAATCAAGCTCGATTTGATCATTTCTAGTCAGTGGCGGTCTTATATTGTACGACAGCAAATGATTCCAAAAGTCATCCTCCAGCGGTATAGGCTCTTTGCTGCAGAACCTTTCGAGATATGTATTTTTCGAGAGATCCTCGACTTTGCTCGGTGATGCACCCATGACTTTATCGTCAAACTTGTCGAGTTCTAAAAATTCACAACGCAAAACACAGATTCAAGAACGAGGTATTATAAAATTATTGAGAAACAAGCAGCCTGCAGAGAGACTGCTCGCAGTGGAGGTAAACAATATTTACCTTCGGCACTTTAGAAAATATGTTTCCCTCGATAGTGAAAAATTCTCAACTGATTACAAATACGTGTACCATGAGTAATATTGCACGAACGCGTAATCTTTATAAACGCGATTATACCGCGGCCACGTCGCGCTATAAATCTCGAGAAAGCGTACAACGTGCAGATGTCATAATATCTCGCCGAATTTATTATGTGGCAGTGCACCAGGCCGGGATTCAATTAATAAGCATAACCTCCGACGTGCGATTTTTTGACAGAAGTTTATACTTTTGCCATTTTACAATTATATGCGGCTCGTCTGCGTGTCTCCTTTCTCTCTCTCTCTCTCTCTCTCGCACTCTCTCTCTCTTTTCCTCGTACAGTCTGTCTCTTTTTCTCTCTCTATCCAACGAACTATATACACGTAGTAAGTATGTACGCCGTGCTGCAGATTTTCCTGCCGAGAGTTACCAACTTGTCGGCAGGTATTCGCGAAAGCTTACTGCAAGTTTACCCATGTGCCGCACACGGCTGATTATTTTAAATATTTTGCCGCTTTTCGTCGGTTTCCCAGTTACTGAATATTCATGTAGAAAGATTATGACGATTAACGCGTCGTCGTTATAAAATATTTAATTATATCGTTAAAAATGTTTTAAACTATGCAATAAATGGAAGAATTTATTTAAAAAAAAGTAATCAATGTTACATTGACTTATAATTTTTTACTTTACCATTAATATTTGGGTCTCAAGTGATTCTATTCGTAATTTGAATGAAAAATTGAATTTTTGAGNTTTTTTTTTTTTCTTTTTAATGTGTACGAATATATACGACGACGCGGCAGAGAAGGAATATATATGGAGGAAGAGAGGGGGAACAGCCGCTAGCGGCAGCAGCAGCGCGACTAGCGAGAGCCATCGACGGGGCACCGCAAGTCTCGCTTCTCGCCGTCGCGAGTCCGACATTTTCCTGCTATGCACTGCTGAGGGAAGATCTGCGTGTGGTGAAGCCGCTGCGTTGAGTCTGTTTGAGTCCGAGTGTTTGTGCTTGTGCGCGCGAGAAACTGTGTGTATCGATATATATATTATTTTATAATTAATATATATATAAAGAGCGAGAGCTGTGAGAGTGACTGCGCTGCGAGAGTCTCCGCGGGTGTGAAAGAAAACTTGGTGTGCATTGCAAAATAGAACAGTAACAAACAAAAAAAAAAAAAAAAACAAAATTTAGATAATACATTTATCCGTTGTATTTCATTGTTAAAACGTACATAACAAAGAAAAAGAAAGAAAGCAACGCAGGAAAGAATCGAGAGAAAGAGAAAACAAAACAATAAACCGTATTGAGAAAATTTGCGAGTGAGAGAGAAAAAGGATATAATCTCGTTCCCGAGAACTTGCTGAGTGTTATATATACATATATATCGTTGTGCGATTGTGGGACTGCAGCTGTGTGTGTATTTTGTGCTCTCATCTTCTCTCTTTTTGGCCTTCGTACGACTACTTCTACCTACTACTACCACTACTATACACACCTATGTTACATGCAAAAATACTATTCATAGTTCGACACACGACATAAAGTATCGTATATAGGCACCTATATAAGACCGAATTCTACGATTCAGTTTTTCATAAGTGCTAGAGAGTCGTCATCGATAACAACAATAACAACAACAACAACGACAGCTATCGAAGCTATATCTCTGTCCTCGAAGAGGTGTCGTCGGAACAATCGATGCTCCATAGATATCATCGGCTCGCGCCCGAGTTGTGAGCGAAGAACGAAAGAGAGAGAAAGCGGCGGGGCTATAAGGAAATAGTAGAAAAGGTCGATTTCATGCGTGTGAAACAAGAGCAGCAGCCAGGAGAAACGCAGACCCAGCTACATCAGCAGGAACGTAGCAGCAGCAGCAGTAGCGGCAGCAGCAGTAGCAGCAGCAAAGAAGCAGCAGCAGCAGCGACGACCGCCGGCGACATAGATATAATCAAGCAGCAAGAGAGCGAGGTGGAGCTCGAGTTGCATCCGACCAACGACGAGCTGCTCAACGACGTCAAAATTCCTGCTGCCAGCGACGAATTAGTAGCGCCGACGACGACGAAATCCACGAAGCCAACGGCAGCTAGCAGCAGCAGCAGCAGCAGCAGTAGTACTAACACCACCAACGCGGGCAGCGGCGCTAATACCACTACTACTACTACTACTACTACTACCACGAGCGTTATGTCGTCTTACATTCAGGTCTCGGAGGACGAGGGTGAGGAGCCGATCGAGCTGCCCACGGAGGACGACGGCACTCTGCTCCTGACCACCCTCGCGGCCCAGTTCCCGGGCACGTGCGGCCTCAAGTACCGCAATCCCGAGTCGAGGGCGATGCGCGGCGTGCGCCTCGTCGACGGCAGGCTACACGCACCGGAGAACGGCTGGGGCAAGACCGTTTACTTTTGCAATTTCCCAAAAGGTTCGTTACCACACCACCACCACCATGCACACACCACCACGATGATGATGTCGTTGATTATTTCCCGCGTACACGCAGGCATACATGCACACGCTAGGCATCAACGACACCCGGGGAGTTTTGGTCGTGTTACCCCCTGCCTCGGATATCATCATCTCTCCCTCTGTGTGTCCGTGTGTCTCTCTCTGTGTGTGCGCGCGTTTGTGTGTATATTTCTACTACTACTCTTTCTACTATCGTCTATCTACGTTTTATGCATCGGCGGCAGCGAGGCATTATCCGATGATTTTACAGAGGGACCATTCGGCCGTTTTACTTTTCGAGTCGATACGAAAGTTCCACATCTACAATTCATTCGCGTACACCGCGATGATGTGTGGCGAGCACCAGCAGCAGCAGCAGCAGCGGGCGGCCATTTTGTCGCGGCCGGGCACGCCACACCGACATAACACACATACACGCGTATGCGCTGCTGTATAATCCTATACGGCACTTGGCGGGCCCGCGAGAAAGTCTTTTTTTTTCGGTGTATACTCGCGTGTACGTGTGCTTTGCGCCAAGGAGCGTCTACGGAGCTAACATGAAAAAGCTGCAGCCGCGTCCGTGACTCGGCTGCTCCATCCTTCCCTCCTCTCTCTCTCTCCACGTCACACGCGCTAATGATGATGATGATGATTCTCTTCGACTTTTGTAACCCTCCCCCTCGCGCGCCCGGTCTCGGTCGTGCGATGCGTGTGTAGGGAGTTCTGGCCTCTTGATAATAATGATGCACACACACGCCGTTATAGCCGAACGTTATTTAACAACGAAAACACGTGTCTCGTATCGTTGCCCCGTTATCGAAACAATGCCAAATTTTAACGAGTGGCCTTGTGCACTCCGCGACGATGATGCGTTTAATGGCAATGACATGTCGACGACGACGTCTCCGAAATTTTCCATAATGGGATAGCGATGTTGATATTGGAATCGGTATTATTTTGGACCGATTTTAGTACTTCGTATGCTAATGCAGTTTCCTCTTTTTCTTAATGATGACTTTGTAAACACAACTGTTCAAACCAACATCATTCAATGAGTTAAAGCAATATGATTACATTTTTTTTCTAATTTATTCTTATTTACAATTACAGAAAATAAACGTAAATCCGATGACAACTTAGAGAATTCTACGGCTAAAACTAAGCGTATGGAAACCAAACTTCGTTGCACTGATCTGATCGTTCTTGGATTACCATGGAAAACCACAGAGCAGAATCTTAGAGAGTACTTTGAGACTTTTGGCGAAGTTCTGATGGCTCAGGTACGGCAAAATTCTAATGTTGCTACGTATTTACTTCTTTTACCAAAGTACTAATTTATTATTGATTAATTATTCAGGTAAAAAAAGATTCAAAATCTGGTCAAAGCAAGGGTTTTGGATTCATTCGATTTGGCAGTTATGAGTCTCAACTAAGATGCCTAGCCCAACGTCATATGATTGATGGTAGATGGTGTGATGTGAAAGTGCCCAACAGCAAGGTAAGAGGTTATTACTAACTATGAATTTAGAGCAATTGTCTCCTTGATGGTTGCTACTATATTCAAGATCTTGCCAGTGATTTGTGCTCACTTGTGAAGACTGACGAACAATTTTTTTTTAAGAAAAAACAAAAACATTTGTGAGGTTTTACTTTTATAATAATTGCTTCAGTACTTTTCATCTTATTTAAAGTTTGTTGATTTGAAGAATTGATGTTTGAAATACTCCCAGAATGAGTGAGTTTGCATGAGTCATAGAAAAATTTCTGAAGCACATATTATCGAACGGTAAATTTTTTTGAGCTACGTTTCTTGAAAGTCGTGTTGAAATTTGTATTACAATTATTTAATGATAAACTACAACTTTTCAATTATATTAATAAACAATTTGAAATTAAAATTCTTAAACATTCAAATAATCATTCATTAGTTCTTTTTTTTACAATTTGGTCGATATTACAAAAAACTTGAATTTCAAATAATCATGTAACTTTTTAAAATCCATATAAGAAACATTATGAATCAGTTTGAGTTCAATTTATTTAAGAAAAGTGTGGAAAGTGTAGATGAATGTTTAAGAGACTTAGAAAGCAACTTGGCATGAAAGCATTTTGGAGTATTGAATGAGCGTAAGAATGTTTCATTTGAGCATTATGTGTGTATTGTATATTTGTGATCATGTTAACAGAGACTGACAGAATGTACATTTAATGTGTTGAGACAAAAAAAACTCTGGACTGCGCAGAGTTTGAAGATTAAACACAAACTTAGCATGTGGATATTAGTGATATGGCTCTACTGCTCTTGAGAAAGTTAGATACTTCTAAACTTCGGTAACTTATCAATCGCAGAATACGCGTGTCATTGTTGGCTCAAGCGCCTGTGAATATATATTCGATTATGAGTTTTAAAAGCTGATTATTTTTGTTAACCGTTTTCGCGTTTTTTGACATATATACTCTTGTTGGCTCGAAGAATGTGTGAATTTTTCCGTAAAACGAGCGCTTCATTATGTGTATTTGCGTGAAATTAATAACTGTCAACAGAGCTCGACTTTTTCTACGGTTTCAAATTTAAAAAAAAATGTGTGCCGATTAAAAGAATAATTTCGCGAGTTACTTTTCGCGTTGCAAGCCTAATAATGAGTATAATGCAGAGTGCTGTATGATTACTACTTTTCTGAGTCCGTTTCGGCAATTATCGTCAACATAATGCCATGTATAATCGTGTGCTAATTAAGTATCCGAATTCTGCTTGTGATTTTATTGAAGTTGTCTTTGCTCATAGCTTATTGATAAAAACCAGCGGTACATGGATGCACAGTACAGTCTGTGTTCCAACAGAGAGTTTAATGAAAAGAAAAAAAAAATTGTAATTGAGTATGGGTTTTTTTACTCTGATAGTTGAGAATGAATGTCAATACAAAAAAAAAAACTGTTATCATGGCGCATTTATGATAATGCACGAGTATGCAACGCCTATATAGTCGATAAGTTATGAAAACGAGAGCATTGTATGGATTAAGAGCATTAATTTTCGGGTGTCTCGTGTATAAACGGACCGATGATGATAATTTTCGGGAGTGAAGATTTCGAGAGAAGCGTCAGCGCGTTTTCGCACCCGTTGCAAAAAGCGACGAACTTATCTCGAAAGCCTCTGTCGTGATTCGTTAAAAAAAAAAAAAAAAGCAGATATGACAAAGAAAAGAAAAGAATATCCTTACTCCCTTCAATTCTCGCGATATTCATAGACAACTAAAAAGCGAGCGTGCGCATGAGTGTTGTGTCTGGTTGCAGAACATTGATGGCATAGTGATGTCGCGACAGTCATCCTCGGGCTACGAAGGCGCCAAGGGCGGTGGCGAGTACTACTCGCGCGGCAGCGGTGGTTACTCGGCGTCGAGGCGTGGTAAGCCATACGATCATCATCACCATCACCACCATCATCAGCAGCACCAGCAGCATCATCATCAGCAGCAGCACCAGCAGCAGCCCCATCATCATCACTCCGGCGGCGGCGCCTCCAGATACGAGGCGGGCGCCAACTCCGCCGATTACGAGTACAAAGCCACTCACTATCCATCCTATCCATCCAATTATCCGTACGACGGGCACGCGCATCAGGCGGCTCCGGCGGCGGTGCCGGCCGGTGGCGGTGGTGTCCCCGCGGGACCACCCGCGGCCCAGCCGCCGAGCGCCTACGGTCCCGCCGCGGCCGCCCCGGCGTACGGCGACGGCAAGGCCTACGGCGCGGCGGCGGCGGCTGCCCCGGCGGGGCCCTACGATCAGGCGCCCGCCGCCTATCCGGGCTACGGCGACCAGCAGCAGCCCGCGGCGGCCCAGCAAGCCGCGGCCTATCATCAGGATTACGCGCGCTACGACGACAAGTACGCCAGTTATAATCACCAGTCGCAGGCGGCCTACGAGCAAGACTCCAGGTACCACGAGGCGAGCTATCATCACGGCTCCGGCTATCATCACGGCGGTCGCGACGCCACGAGCGACGTGAGATACGACGAGCCCGCGAAGGACGGCTACAGCTATTCCGGCAGCTACAAGCGCCGGGAGTACGCCGAGGCTAGATATTAAGAGAGCTAGTTTCTATCTTCTTTTTTTCTATCTCGAATGTGCTGTCGTTTTTTCCATTTATTCTCTTTTTTTTTTATAAAATTTGTAACATTATACAAAGTGCCGACTGTTGCCGTGACAGTTTGTGGGAGGAGATTGATTTTTAATTCAAATGATTTGTCGGTAGTCGTCAGTTAAGGTATACACGTGTAATTTAGCTTGTTAATTATTGCTAAACATCATTTGTTGAATATCAATTTTTTATTACCGCACTTTCTATGCAACTATAAAAATTCTCGCTTTATGCGATGTTATTTTTTTTAATTCTTGAAACGAAACGATCGAATTTTATTTTGATTTATATATGTCAGCGTCACTTATGGTGATTCATATTATAAAGTAAGGTACGGTTAAATTTTCTACTCGGTCTTGTCAATGTTTTCATCTATCATCTTGTCATGATTCATACGTATATATTCATTAAACAATATATAGACTCGTGTACTGAAATGCGTGCAAAAGATGACATTTGTACCATTTATTGTAATGTAAATATTGTAATATTTACAAAAAAAAACTACTACGTTATGTATGGATTTTATCATAAAAACAAAACAAAAATGTATGAAATATTAATAAATTAGGTAGTCCATGATAAAGCAAGCGTGTACTTTAGCTTATATCATTTTATCCAGTGTGAATCGCGCAAAAATAGGATTAAGTGTCACCACAAGGAGTATATAGTCAATGCCAAATTCTTTTATGTCAACGTTGTGATAATTAATAATCGATACAACGTAAAAAAATTGCAGGCGAGTCTCTTAAACGTCCATCTATACGAATTCCAACTGAGCTTATAACGAATAATTAGTAGGCGCAGCGCGACGCGAAAAGCATTAAAAAAACAAAAACAAAATCTGAAATAATCAATCAAAAATCAAAAAAGGAAAACAAAAAACATTGAGAAAGTGTACTTGAATGTGTACTACAGGAAGGCATGATCCAGCAAGTTCCGTGCAAAGTGTTCGTGGGTCGCTGCACCGAGGATCTGACGGCCGATGATTTGCGCGAGTACTTCACCAAGTTCGGCGAAGTTACCGACGTGTTCATCCCCAAGCCGTTCCGTGCGTTCAGCTTCGTGACTTTCCTCGATCCCGAGGTCGCGCAGTCGCTCTGCGGCGAGGATCACATAATCAAGGGCGTCTCGGTGCACGTGTCCAACGCGGCGCCCAAGTCCGACGCCAACAATCGCGGCGGCGGCGGTGGCGGCGGCGGCAGCGGCGGCGGCAACTTCAACAATCAGCTCAACAGCGGCGGCAACATGCGCGTGGGCGGCCGAGGCGGCATGGGCGGCGGCGGCGGCGGCGGCGGTGGCGGCGGTCCCATGGACAATAACATGCCGGGAAACTACCAAGGTAACAGGTACATGGGCCACTCGGGCAACAACATGGGCCCGAACGGCTGGAACAATCCAGGGAACCGCGGTAACCTCGACATGCCCAATCTACAGGCGCTGGGCATTACTGGCCAGAACAACGGTGGAGGCCAGGCTGGTGGGATGTCCAACCCCTTGGCAATGGGCGGCCTTAGTCTCTCGGCCTTGCCGATGAATCCGGCATTGGTAGCGGCGGCGATCAACCAGGCCAGCTGGGGCCTCATCGGCAACCTGCAGAACCAGGGAAACGACCAGGGCTACAACAATCAGCCGGGCCCGCCCGGGCAGCCTCCCAACAGCAACAACAGCCTCGCGGCTAGCGGCAACTCGGGCTTCCTCTCAGGCTGGATGAATCAGGCAGGTGGCGCGGGCGGCGGCGCCGGGGGCGCCGGTAACGGCGACGGCAACAACGCCGGCAATCAGGGCACCCAGGGCGGCCCGAACAATCCCAACGCCTCCCAGGGCGCCTGGCAGAGCCATCCCGGACAGCGCGAGCCCAAGTCCAATGCTTTTCTCAAGTACGACTAAGTTCGCTCTCGCTCGCAGAGGCTTGCCTTCTATATATACCAAGCCTCGGCTCTCGAAGGCGGCGGCGGTGGCTCGCGAAGGGTTGTGGTCTCTTTGCCCTGTGCACGACGACGATGCGTTGGTGTCGTTCGATCGTCCTCTACTCTGTCTCTCTCTCTCTCTATCCCATGTAATCCGCTGCGTTGCTGCTGAAACCCTGCCCCACTACCCGCCCCCATCCAGCCCTCGCCTGCCCTCTTCAACTACCAAAATGCCGCCAATTGAACACTACATTTTTTGACCTATTATAATATTAAAAACGCATCACAACGACGATGACGACTGTGACAACTTGAAACTTCAACGCTATCACCCAGCCACAACAAACGACCTCGTCTCGGGCCCTGTGCTACTTTTTACTGGGTTTTTTTTTCCTCTTCTTCGTAATTTTTCTTCAAACTGTACGAGACGAGGTTTGGCTTGGTTTTTCTCATTTACCCTCCGCCCTTGCTGCAATCGTTGCTTACAAGTAAGCGCGTTGTGCTTTTGCTCTCTAGCCCTGAATTAATATTGCCTTTCGAAAAAGCATCCGTCGTTTTTTATTCTCATTTTCTTGAGAAGAAGTGCATCTTTTTTCAATTTCACACATTCGCATATCTACTATTTGACTTAGGCTTTTCATTCATCTTTTTCAATATTTTGCGCACCTTGGAAAATGCGTATTCTTAATTATTAAGCAAATAACTCAAAAGAAATTTTTGTAAATGGTACTTTTTACAATAACCTGTACGCAATAAAAAATACGACTTACTCTAGTTGTCATATTCATCATGTTTCAAAGTTGAAAGTGAACGAACGTTAGAGCTTTTATGTATGAGTTTCATTTTCTTCATCGGTGCGCAAATATTCTGATTCGATTATTGTAAAAAGCTAATTTTTACAAGTCCCGAATACAACTATATTTAAGACTACATTTATGTATTATTTGAACATGTCAAATGTGTTGCTGAAGGCTAGAGAGGATTGCGTCTCTGTTACTAAGAATAATTTTAACAGCAATATTTATATTATGTTACATCCCAATTCTTGGGTCATAAGTTGTACATTGTGGACAAACGGAAATTATTATAACTATAATTTACACTTTCTCTCTCTCTCTCTGAATTGTTAAATGTAAAGAAATAACATCAATCTAAACTTCAATTCAGTAATGTTATCTTTTTCAAGAATTATCTTACTTCCATCAAGTGTATCAAAAATATCCCACGATTGATACGTAAATTTTAAGCAAAGTTGCAGTTCTGTTTTATAGGAAATTTAACGAAAAAAATTTTTTAAATTGATTTTTCTTGATAAAGTAATAAAATTGATTAGAGAACGTCGAGGTGAACGACAAGATAGAAAATGAAAAATTTATCGTAGGCTTATTACTGTATAAAACCATATGCGAGCGCTGTGAAATCAGTTTTCCTTAAAAATTGTAAAAATTAATTTTTATCTGTAGAACAAAAATTATTTCTCACTATAAATGAATTATTATTATTGAACAAATTTATTACTCTATCGTAAATAAGAGTAATGTGAATGATAATAATGATAATAAAAATGATTAACTACAGTAATAGACGACTAAAAGAACAAATTCATCATGAAATATTTGATCGCATTGAAATTGGTGCACGGTAATGTTTTTGATAAAATAATATTTGGTTGCTTTAAAAGTGTATAAGAGAGAATCTGTAGATGAAATATTGATATGTTTGAAATAAACTCTGCGTGTAATTTTGTTTTTGCCCGAAAGTTTATATTAGATAACAGTGTGTTTGATAAAATAAATAAATATATATTTATATGATATGCGCCGTTTTTGTGGAATATAGTAATTATTTGTAATTAATCGCTGTAATAAGGGAAGATAGAATAAATATGGTTATGTTGATCGACTGCAAGTGGTTTTGAGTGAATTATGATTTGCTGATGAATAATTGTTTTATGGTAAAAATATTTACGATAAATTGAATAAAATTATAAATATGATGCTATGAGAGATAAAAAATTGAAAACAAAGAGAGAGAATGTTTTTTGTTTGCTAAATTTAAGAAAACTGACTAAATGTATGGAGTGAAGTGTTTTTTTACTGAACACAAATATTATAAAGCGTAAGTATGAAAGGGATGATGGACGAAAAGAAAGTTGAAAAAATGGAGTTGAGCAGTTAAAAGTGAAGAGTGTAATCCTTATTAGAATAAGAAGTATATGTATATCTAGAGAATGATATAAATGTAGTCTTCAACGTTTAGATAAAAACGATAGATAAATATGAGTTTCATTAAATCACGCATCAAAATGTATACATGTATGTATATGTGTCATATGGTACATTTGAATAACGCTAAAAATTTAGTACTCGCAACAAATTTATATTGATTTCATTACATCGAAGTTACGTCTTCGACCAGTTCATCGTGACATTGTACACGCAACAGTTTTTATTTCACTTCTTATTATGAGACTTGAACTCGATAATATTTCACTTTTTTTAAAAAAATAAATAACCACCTATCAACATTTTAAAAAATTTTAATTTTTTAGTTACGTCACTTCGTCCTCTGATGACAATTATATTTGTGTAATTCTGAAAAATAAAATCCTTATTAGATAAATAATATGGATAACTAATGAAGTGTGAGTGTTGTATTTCATAACGATGTGTTACGCATGTGTCTTTCCATGGAAGCTCAGTCAGCCTGATATACCCGGTATATCATAGATTTACCCTCGAATAAAAAAAAATGTAATTTTCAAAATAAAAGTAACAACGACATCTTGTTATTTTCATACCTGAAGTTTGTGTATATTCTTGCAAACTTTTTAAACACGAATGATTCCGATGATTCTGGTGTCGAGCAAAGAAAATAAAGAAACATCCAAAAGCTCCTTATATGCTACGGTGTATGAATAAAAGCCATGTCAGTGGAGATCACGACACCCGTACTTTTTGTGAGATCGATCAAAATCAAAAAAAAATAATTGAAAAATGTGTTTAACGCAGCGCGTTATACCTCGATAGCGTCAAAGTGATGAAAACTGACGCTTTTTTCATAACAATACTCAATTCACTAAATCTCTTTCACCGTTTACATACGAACAACAACCCCCATATGATTTGAATTATGTGAGCAACTCACTTGAACGGAACTACTTTAGAGTAATTGATCGTACATTAATTTCGGTGTTTCGAAACCTTGCTAGTCTTTATGGAATTACGATTAATTTAATAAATGTCAAATCCTCGAGTAAAATGAATACGTACGCGAAACATTGTATAGTAATGTGAAAACGAGATTTTGAACGATTGCGATGTATAAACCGAGTGCAGTTACAACCGCATGTTTTTTTCTACTGGATGATGCGTCCTATTGTTATATTCAGTTTTGAGTGTTGATCGTAGCCAAGTGTGATTGGGTACATGGCAAAAAATGAAACATAATTAGAACGAGATGCATTTAACGAATGTCATTTATTAACGATGTCAATGCTCTACTGTAACAGTATAATGAGAGAAAGATAAAAAGCCTATATAATATGTGACTCGCTCAAATATCCTTAAAACGAGAGAAAAAGAAAGAGAGAAAGGGAAAAAAGAAACAGAGAGAATTCATAGATGTTGGAATGATTGATAAAAGGCAGTTTCCAAGTCTTTTCTGTAAAAAATAGAGAAAAAAAAAACAAACGTGCTACGTATTTTCACAATTTTAACAATTGCTATTATGCGACAAAAAAAGAAACAAAAATAGTCAAAGAGACCATTTACGCAATTTACATCGGTCGCTTCCTCATCGTCTTTAATAGTATACGTATGTATTTATTTAGTTGCAAGAACGACAATGACTTGATAATTGAGAAAAAATGATGAAGCGTGAAAACTGTGTACGTGTGACGAGTTAATGAGTAAAAAAGAAAAAATAGAGCGACTAAAGGCGTGATATCCTTTATTGTCATATAAAATAAATTTACTTGTATAAAAACTTGGGTTACGAACAAGTATATAGAACAAGATGCCTTAGATAGACTCATATATATGAAACTACGATTTGGAAGCGATCATGAAAATCGATCAAATGTGTAAATAAATAATAATTAATTATAATGATAAAATAAATAATGTTAATTATAATGATAATTATAACGAAGAAATGATATACCTGAACGGGTCGCGTGGATAAAGCGAATGGTTTTTACGGGTGAATTTATGATTGACATCATTGATGAAGGGAGACAAACTGAATAAATTTCATGGAATGTATGAAACAAATGAAAAAAAAAAATATGTGTATCTTTTTCTAATTTACATCTTCGATCGACATTCGCGTGTCGCTGCATCGAAAAGTGTGAAAAAAAAAACAAATAAATAAAGGGGGCAAACTATAAGACTGCTATTGAACAAGTCAAAAGATTCTTGCCATATATTATTGTGTACAATGAGGGAAAAAATTGTATTTGTGAGAGGAAACGAATAATTTATGTAAATAGGTTTGAAGTCGATGAAGATGCGGGTTCGATCTAATAATATGCATTGTGCAGCGAGAAAATAAAAATAAAAGAATAATAAATAAATAAAGAATACCTACGGGAATCGACTATTCCTTCTCTCTTCTGATCTCGACGGAGAGCAATTAAAAAAAAAAAAAAAGAAAAATAATAAATGATACATTAAAAACTACCTGAACGACATGATACATTTTCCACGAACACGATGCAAAACTTGCAAAACACATGTGCAACACACGTTATCGAGTAGATGTTGCTCGTAATTAATAGGCACGCACACAACCCCGAACCGTACACGCAACTTACGATCGATGGTTATAATACAGATTTATCGAGGAAATGCATTATCGTACAGACTGCCACTGTGATCAATGAATAAAAGAAATAAAAAAAAAAAAAATAAAAATAATAATGGTGAATGAAAAAACGACTGCTTATAAATAGCATCCTAATAATATGTAAAAAAAAAAAACAAAACAAAAATAAAAAAATTTTATACGATCGAAACGATAATTGTTACACTCGTAGAAAATCGTTTGTAGAAGTCGAGAGCCGAGCAAGTCTGTGTGTTTAATACGTATTGAGAACTGAGAGAGGTATACATTGATGAGTGATGATGATGATGATGATGATGATGCGAGGAAAAGATAATTTTTAAACAGGTGCGTGTATCGTGTGCCCATCGTTGAGCTACGGATCTTTTGATGATGGAACTGTTCATGATTTTTGTCCCATATGTGTATATATACATATTTACAATATATTATATACTTTTTGATGTTCTGCAAAAAATTATCAATAAAGTTACGTCAGTAATGAACAATGATGTGTTTATACATTTTCTTTATGATTCCTGAAATCCCATTAATAATTGATAAGACACAATAACTGGTACATTATGCAGCATATGCTTTCGGCTTCTTTTCGGAATCAACTCCAGTGAAGGTAAAGTCTCAATTCTTCTAATCGTCGAGTTCCTTGCTTGAATAAAGGATTTCTAATAAAATCATTATTTAAGAAAAACTTTCTTATTAATTTAAACATTTCTAATGTTTCAAATATAATTTATAATAGTTAAAAATATCTATCAAATATTATTCTTTATACAACCATTGGAACAGATAATTATTTCTCCATGATTTATATTTTTAAATAACATCCAGAATGAACGTCTAAGAATGTCAGGTTCTGCATTTTTTCCCGTTTTTATGGCATTTTGGTATTTTAGAAGGTATTTAAATATACTCATAGATGAACCCGTATCAGTATGGGGAATATATTTTATTCTTAGAACCTAATTCGAAAAACTTGACTTATCATTTCCTTGCCCTAGTACCACTATTTCTATTTTCGGAGCTTCAAGTCCGACCGATAGGTGGTGCAGCGCGGGAATAAAGACGTACCCGCAAAAGAAAAACATTCCTTATGGGTACAAGTATACCATCCCTCGAGAAGAAATTAGTTTTACTCTTAACATCAGAACTTGTTTCTCTGTGAAATTTTTTGAATCGGTTCTTATTTGTAATCTTCAGCATTATTACAGAGATTTCTTATTTCAAAATTCTAAAGAATAACTGAAGAATATCGTGGACCATTCACCGCATCTTATTGGATGTGCGAAATAATGAATCAAGATCGTGTCTCTATTATCGTGCTTAAATTTTGTGGTCAAATTATTAGTACTTACTTTCAGAAATTTTATTGAATTTATTTTTAGCGCATTCCAATTAGGTTGGGAAAATTGATCGGAAATTATTTTCTTTGATACAATTAGATCAGTATTTTTAGAGTTACGGTCAGAGGCATTTGACAAATATCAATGTTTACTATGGGAAGGAAAACGTGAAAAAACCCTGTTGCAAGGACATTTAATACCCTTATAAATTTGAATTTTATCAACGGATTGTACATTTTAAGTTATGATCTTTGATGAGTCGTTAATGCTGTAAATATTTCTACCCTTGGAGCATACGGGCATTTTAACAAATTTTGTTCGGCTTCTATCTTTTAGATCATTAATTGAATAACCATCCAACTAAAATATATATTAAAAGGTATATTCTTTGTAGTCAAGTGGTAATGCGCTCAGCTTTATATTGAGGATCGAACTGTCAAATGCAAGTTCGATAATAAATCAACGATTCTTTATTTGTCACATTTAAGTATAGAAAAATTGAAGCAACGAAAAAAAAATTTTACCGTAATTGTTTACCAACATATTAACCATATAATTAGTCATAATTTTTCATCAAGATATAGGCTTCAGCCACCTTGAGATAAAGAACTTCAATTAGATCAACATTCATATCATAAAATGGAATAAAAAGGATTAATATTAAAAACAATTTATAAGAAAAACTTTCTTATTTATTTAGCCATTTCTTAAGTTTTTAATATAATTCTTAATAGTCAAAAATATCTATCAAATTCAAGAAATCAATAAGTCTTCGAATATTATGCTTTTTACAATCATCGGAACGAATGATTATTTCTTTCTTAAAATAAAAAATATTTATAACTAAAAATTCAACTACTGATCATTAAAAATAAGTCAAAAACAAAAATGATGTTGAATTCAATCTGAATACATATAATTGATTGAATCAACTTAATTTCAACTTTACATGTTTATTTCTCGGCGAAAAGTTCAAGTTGTATACAAGAATGAGACCATTTTCGCATTAAATTAAGTTTACAAATTTTCTAGACTGGCATTAATTTATTCATAATTCAGTACTTGCAAAATTAACCCATTCATTTTTAGCTGTTCAAGATACCTCTATAATATCTCATAAAAACTTAAATTTACAAAAATGGTTTTTGAAACTTCATATCTTTTAAAGATTGAACAATGCAAGATTTGCAACAAAGTAATATTACCTAAGGTTTTATAGTTATTGATATATAGCTAATATACATGTCAAGGTTTTGCATTAGTAAAATCTACAAAGTTTAAAAAATTTTTAGAGGTATTCGAACCGAAAACCACCTCTTCCACAGTCATTGGCGAATGGGTTTTCGAAGAACGATTGAAATCTAGATTCCATATCCATATCTAAAAAGATTTAAAAAATAAAAGTAAGAAAAATTTCACATCATTAGAATTACATAAAGCATAAAAGATTCATTTTACCTTGGAAATTGAAATCATTATCTTCTAAATCATGACCATTATCGTATCTGGAACGTTTCTTAGGGTCCGATAAAATTCCATAAGCTTCGCCCACTTCCTTGAACTTTTTCTCTTGTTCTTTTTTCTCAGCATCGCTAGCATTGGAATGACGATCTACAAAGATAATAAAGATGTTGAAATATGTTCTGTAAAATTTAGCAAAACTTCTATTAAGTACCTGGATGATGAACCATGGCCCTTTTTCTGTAAGCTTTTTTAATGTCTTCTGTGCTGGCATTTTTTTCAATTCCTAGAATTTTGTAGTAGTCTTTTCTTTTCGATTTTTTCAGTGCTTTCTGTGCGTCCATCAGTAAACGTTTGTTTTCTGAAAGAAATCAACATATATCAGTTGCCAACATTTTTTTAATGAATAAGATTTGAAGTAATTAGATCTATCATTTACCTCTGCTTTTGTCTAACTTTAGTGCTCTTTCATAATCCCTAACAGCTTCTTCATATTCTTGAAGAATCATGTAAGAAAACGCTCTTCTAAGAAGTGCTTTCAAATATTTATCGTCTAATTTTAATGCTTCAGTGCACTGAACAATCGCATCTCTGTAATCTTGCATCTAAAAGGAAATCAAAAAATGCGTATTTTATGAAATTCAATTTATGTTAGTATAAAATAATTTTTCAATTGTATATAGTATTTTTCAGTTACCTTAGCTGCTGCTGTTGCCTTATTAAAATACAGTTTTGCATTAACTTTCTTATTGGCTGGATCAACCAATAATGCTTGCTCATAAATTTTGTAGGCGTCTAGGTATCCCTCGCTTCTGAAGACATAATTTCCATCGTTTTTCAATTTTTTTATCGTTTTGAGTTTCTGCAAAATTAGATTATTTTGTTTTATGCTGTCATTATCAATAATGATTTTTAATAACTCACTTTATAAGTTTCCAAAGCTTTTTTGTGATCAGGAGCCAGACGAAAGACTTGTTGGAAATGTTTTAAGGCACTATCTATGTTATCTTGATAGTATAAACAAGTACCTCTGATATATATCGCATCAACATTTTGTTTATCTGTATGAAGCACATCACTGAAAATATAATTTCATTTGGTTATCAATACGTTTTGGGCTGTATTTTTTACATCAATATAATTTTCATACTTTGCAGCCATTTCAGCTTCAGAATATCTTTCCAAGTACATTAAACTTTCAGCTTTTTTAACTTTGAATGTGGAGCAAAATGGACTTACTTCTGCACATCGATCCATGCAATACACAACCTAAGAAATAAAATAATTACATGCATCATACATCATTAATATGATAGCTATTTATCTAGCCATTTGAGTAAATGATGTTGTGTTTACTTTGCGATAATCTTTGGAAGTATAGGCAGTGTCAGCTTCAGTCAAATATCTTTTCAGTTTGGCCAGATTTTGCAATTCTTCAGCTATAGAGCTGCTGCTGTTGGGTTGAATTTTTTCTAACTTTGCTATTGCAGCTTCAGCTTCTGTAGCATCTCCTGTAAGTAGTGAACATTTTATCAGGCGATTGTAGGCTTTTGCAAAATTTGGATCTAGCTCAAGACATCTTTTAGCATCTTTCAGAGCATCGCGGTATTGTGACATCATCATAAAGCAAGCGCATCTATTACTGTAATATCTGGCAACATCAGGACACATATCTGAAAAATAATAAAGCTTGGTTACAATAATTAAATAGATATTTTTATAATTATGTACCACTGATTCTTACCAATAACCTCATTGTAGACAACCAGAGCTTGCTTATATTGTTTAGCACTGTAGAGCCTGTTAGCTTCTTCTTTTTTGATTTCAGCTAACCTGAATTTATAAGCATGTGAATCGATTGGTTCGAATGTATATTCTGAGTTTTGCAACGGACTTCAGAATAACAAAACAAAAAAAAAAGAAGCATTAAATAGATTACTCAAATACAAAGCATTGTTAAAATTATCAAAAATTCTTTTTGAAAAACATAAAACTTATTTACTTTTGTGAATCGAAAAACTTACATTGGCATAAGCATTATATTATTTTGACAGAGCAAGTTTGTAAATAGGAGTAATAATAATCATGGCAATAAAGAATAGATTATAAAACAGATATTCATTAATTGACAGATTAAAGAAGAACTGGAACGTGAGAGCAGAATGTTAACAGAATACATTTGAGCACAGCTTGAAAGAGCCAAAAATAGAGTAAGTAAAAGTAGAGAAAGCAGAATAAAGGGCAGTAATAATAGTAGCTTTGCATTGGAGTAGTCTGAATGTGCACATGATGCAAAGGACAGTGACGGTGACTCAGTTGATCACAAAGATTAATTCAGTCATACACACACATACACTCGAGTACTGCTGAGAATGAAAAAAAAAACAAGTTAAAAAAGATAGATAACAGGAGTTTCGTACAAAGACAACGAGAACACAGAAGGCATTTAAACAAGGGGGTATAGAGACTCTTACTGTTCTGGTTTGAGCATCTTGGGCTCGGTGGGTTTGCACGTGTTGTCCAAGTCGGCGGCGGCGGATGTGGCGGCAGCGGGCGCGGAGGCAGCAGCTTGATCGACCTGGGCTGGCAGCGATGTCGTCGACCCGGCCATCGTAGGCGACGGGTTGCTCTTGATACCACCAGCGCCGATGGTGCTGGTGGTATCGGCCGTGCTGGACAGGTCGATCACCGTGGCCGTGGGATCGTCGACGGCCATCTCGCTGGCAGCGGGTGTGGACCTGCGTCTACGACGTCGAGACGACGACGTCGATGTCGACGAGCTCGGGCCCTGCTGCTGCTGCAGTGTTTCGCCTTGGGTATCAATGGTGAATGCCGAGTGGTGACACAGGGGTCAACGAAGAAACGAAACTGTATATACAGATATAATAATGAGACGATTGTCAATATAGACGACGACGACGATGTCGTTGAGTAGGCGCAGCGATTAATACAATGCAATGCCTAGCCTAGCTCTCTCTCTCTCTCAGTGCACCCACGGATTGATTGACTCTTGTGTTATACGCACTTGGCGTGGCTGTGTCGCGTTACACGCAAGCAGAATAAGACGACGACGACGAGCTGTCGATTATCGCAGAAAACCTCGTGCTAGCGCGAGAGAGAGATACAGGCAGACATCGTATTATTATAGATATATAAAATCGCGCGAGCCTCGATCGAGCCAAGTTCACTGCTCGTAGTAAACAAAAGATGCTGCTGCTGCACACTCACCCAATGTTGTACGAAAGCAACACTGCACAATCACGCACCACACGCGAATTTTATCCTATACTGATGTAAGAGAGCGAGCCTTGCAATTGTCTGTCCCGCGCGCTTATACACACACACGCAGTATGGATATATGTATTGAAACGGAGAGAAAGTTTTGGGACACTTTTCTGCGGGCGCTGCTGAAGCACACACACACACACACCCAACGAAAAAAACTCCTCTTTTTTCTTATTTCGTGCGTGTTGTGAAGTCCCCGAGAGATCCGCCGATTCGGGCGTATCAATCGATGAGAAAGAAAGAACGAAAAAATATGTATCAACCAACCGCCGCAGCCTTACAAACGTCGTCGTCCCCTGTACAACATGTAAACTCTCTCGGGCGCGCTCTGCTGTGCTCCGAGCGCGAGCTGAATGGGCTGATTTATTATTCGTACGTGTGTTGGTTCGTTTGTGTACATATACGTATCATGCATGTGTCAGTATGTGTGTATGTGTTGTTTCGTGCGTAATGTGCTGCTGCTGTAACGCTGATCGTCGTCGCGTTGATCGTTAGATATTTCGCTGGCTCTGCTGACTGCTCTGCTCTCTCTCTCTCTCTCTTTAACTGGCGCTACTTTGGACGGTGGCGACGTCTCTGCTACGTATACCGAAGCGCGGCGCGTTTAAAGCGACCTGCACGATGCCAAATTTTGGCAGTTTGGTATTTTTTGGCTCGAAATAGAGTGAGAAAACAATAGGACAGGCAAAAGTTACAAAATCTCGCGAAACACCTTTCCTCGATCGTGCGACGAAAGTAAAATAATCGTGTCTCCCTTACTATCGGCTTTTTATTTTTTATTATCGCAGCCACGCGTGTGTCGTTCTATCTTTTATTATCGTTGAAAAATTTCGATTTCGCGCTTGTGTACGATAAAGAAAGATCCGTATGTGTATTATTATTATTAGCATTGGTATCGGCTTTGGTTCAACCACTATTCTGTGATTGCAGAAAAAAAACCACAATCGTCGTTGTCTCTCTCTCACGCTGGGTTGATTAACCACCGACAAAACTTTGTTGCCGCTTGATCAACGGTGAATTTCTCGGGAACATAAAAGTATTTTACCGCGGATAAAGCGCAACTTTTAAGTCGATCGAATTACAGTTGAATAAAAGAAGAATGAAGAATTAAGAGAACAATGAAAGCTCGACGCGCTATTAAAATAATATGTATCAACAATTACCAAAGTCCACTCGACTCTCTTTCACGCAGTAAAGTTATATCGTTGTCCTCGAGAGGAATATAATAATCGTTCTAATTGGGAAAATTGAAGAAGCCGAGAATTTTTTTCTTTTCACCCTTTACCCTTCATCCTCCCTTGATTTTAACTCTCGGCCTTTTTTTTCTCTCCTCGCTCGAAGTTCCGAAAGAAAAGTCAGCACCCCTCCCGACAGTTATAAGACAGCTGGGTTTTTTCTTTCTTTCTTTTTTTTCTGCTCTCTCTTTTGAGAAAAAACGCGCGGCCGTCAGCTGGTAAAATTAGCCGAGCGTTACAAAGCTTTGTTTCGTTTTGTCGCTGTTTTTTTTTGTATGTTAGTTTTCGTCCACCGCGTGCAGCTAGAAATTTTTTAATATGCTCGTGTTTCGCGCGAAGGACGACCAAGACGAAGGAGGAAAACTTTGCGAAGAGATTATCATTTTTTTTTTGTTTTGTTTAGGGTAAGACGGGAAATTTTAGGCGTGGTTGAAGGGATGAAGAAATGCTCGTGGCTTATACAACGTACCTATTATTCACATGCTGTTGTTTTGACTTTTTTTTTGTTTTCAGTTGTCAACTTACCTGTACTTAGTGAGACAAGAGAGTTCCAGGCGTAAAGTCGCTGGAACGGGTATGCGTCGAATTAATAACAGTAATAATTAGAAAATTAAGATGTACCAACGGTGCAACGATTGTGATCTAGTTAAAAATTGGATGTTAAGTTACAATTATAAATACATCAAATAAATTTTTTTACAGCAAATATATCACTCTAATCATTCTTTATTGAATACACCCTAATCTTGTTTCAGTCCTGCATACGAACAAATGATTTGAGTGGCAATTTTAAATTATAAACATTTAATACCTACAGATAAGGCTGAGCAATTTTCTGATCGTACAAAAATATTCATACATTTTTACGAGTAAAAGGATCATATGAATATTATCAAAAACTTGATTGTATTATTTTATACATTAATTTAATTTACCATTTTTCATCTCCAAAATTTTCTTCCAATATGATTTGAGACATGCTCTAATATTTAACTTTTTTTGTTTCCCGTAACTTTTTCTGCTTACCCTTATATATTTCAACTTCTAAAGCAGCGCTGGTAAAATAAATACTCCGCTGCAAGCTAACGAATTGGTACACAGTAGATTTCAGAATAGATGTATTTTAAGTAAAAATGAAATTGATTCAGTCATAATTTTCCTCAATTCTTGAAACAAAATCGAATGTTTAAATCAACTTTAATTAATATAAGAACCGAGTAAAAAGGCTACAACCGGTACTACAACCTAAATTTTATTCGAGCAATTTATAACATGCTCGAAAAGCCGTGGAAAATTCGAACGACCGTTTAACGATCATCTAATTAAACAATAATTTATGTTAATTCGAGTTTAATTTCATGCCAATTAGTTACCAGTGAAAAAAAACCAACGAGAAGAATTGCCCGTTTAAATTGAAGCTCGCGGATTTTTTCGCGCGCCCGAAAGCTCTAATTCTCTCGACGCTAAACGCACGCACATACGCTCTCACCAAAAAAAAGCTCACGACAACGCGAGTTATTATACGTGTACACATGAAGAAGAACGATACTTGGCGGGAGAATCTCCGCGCGGCCGTAACTCGATATATAAAAGCTTAACTCGAGACGCTTTTTGTTTTCGCGTGCAAGCTCGGCGTCGTCGGCGTCGGCGTCGGCGGTCGAGTGCAAAAAGAAAAGAGAGAAGAGAAGCGCGGCGGAAAACGTGACCACACCGACTCCTCGAAAGCGCGCGGAAAAAAAGATATATACGTGCTTTTGGAAGACGAGAGAGAAAAGAAGTGCACTTGTGAGCTTTTGAGAAAAGCGAGAGTCGTCGCGTGTACTGTGCACTTCGTATCTAGCTGTCGCGTAGACGGCGTCATTAAATTATTTGTTTATTCAATTTTCATCATAAGTATTTCATCGATATTATGTTGAATAGCTGGATAAAAATCACGAAAATGAATTTTTCTTTATGTCAACTTCATTACAGTCCAATGTACACCTTCGACGTATACATAATTTTAAATTCGTTCTGCACAAAAAAAAAATTAAGTAAACACTGACTTGAAAATTGTATTATATCATCATATAATAAAAAAAAGATTTCCTTATGTTGAAAGCAGTTAATATTATATTTTATTATGCACAATAAAATTGACATTCCTTATTCGTGCGTGTCTTTCTATTCGTTCGCCGTTATTCGTAAAAAAAAATACTTCTTTTTTTTTCTAAATTAAATAATTCAGTTGCTAAATTTTGTCGACTAATATTTACACATAATAGGGTTTTTTTTCGGTCATTGTTTTCTTTTTGCACACGATCACAATCACATAATTATATAATTAACGATCCGACCGAGATATATATCATACATTCGTATTGATCAATGTACAATGGAGTTATGGGAATTATTATTGTCGATCGATCCAGAATCATCTGTATCTGTCATCACATGTACAGATCTACGAAAAAAAAGCTCGGTTACACAAACATCCTCCACGATAAATAAATAAAATCAAAAAAAATCGAAGCTTACATGGGAATTTGTTCTCATAAATCTCGAGCAATTTGGCGATATCCTCGTCCTTGCGCCCCTTGAGCTTGGCCCCAGCCTCGGCCAGCTGATTGAACACGGTCTTGAACACGTCGATGGGCCTCAGTGCCGTGCGACACTTCTCGCCGTATTGGGTGAAGAACGCGTCCGCGATCCGGCTGTCTCTGTCGCTGTAAAAGTGCACGTCCGTCTTGTACTCGATCCTGTACTCCAGGCCCATCACGTCGAACGTGCACGTGCGAATCGTCTTAGCGTCGAAGTCGTGCAGTCGCCTCTTGTTGATGTCCGCGGGGCAGCGCGTCGTGCGATGGATGAAGGTGCCGGCGCCGAGCACCGGCACGTGATCGAGCTGACGATAGCGCAGAAACAGCTCCCAGCCCATGGCCTGGAACAGATCCTTCATCTTGTCCTTGAAGGGATTGGCGAGGTAGAGCTCGACCAGGGCGATCATGGCGACGCGTTGGACGAGGATGTCGCGCTCGCTCGCCTCGCGGGGCAGCGGCCTGTCGCACTTCATCATGCTTATCACCGTGAAGGATACGTCGTCGTCGATCGGGAAGGGATCGTCGGTCTTGGTGAAGCCACCCGCAGCCATGATTGTCGTCGTCGTCAAGCCGTGAGGTAATTTTGTTATTATTGTTGTTGTTGTTGGGTTTTGTGTGTACACTTACTCACTCTCACTTTGTATATTTATCGATGTACACGTGGGACACGACTGAGCTGACCGGATCGAGTCTAGGGATCTTGGAGCTTGTCACAACATCTCGAGTTCGATACATTCAAAACAAAAGCAGAAGCTTCGCGCGGCACAGCTGGTCAATAATTTCAAAGTTGATGGAGCTCCTTACAAATGTATATGGCCGATTCTCTGTGAAATCGAATGGCCAAAAAATTTTTTTTTCTGCAAATATGAAAAACTTGCTGTTTCCGATGTCAGAAATGTCCCCAAATTTTATTAGAATTTTTGGGACCATCTATCACTCTTTTTCAGGGGCCCGAAGTTGGCCATTTTAGGGTTTTTTTGAAATTCATGAAAAATCACAAATATTCAAATAATTCCTGGATCAGGGTAGAATGATTCAAAAGTAAAAGTGCCCAGCAACTTTTTTGTTGGAAATTGTCCAAATTTTCAGAAAAAAAATATGCCAAAGTGATTGGAGCCACCTAAATACATAATAGTGGGAAAACATAAAAAAAAAACATAAAACAAGAAATCTACTCGAGTTCGAACCGGACTTTCATTTCCTAAACTATGTAAAAAGCTTCCCAAAGATGTCAACTAATGCCTGATAAAGTTTTGTAATGGGTCTTAAAGTTTAACGCAATGTAGACAACAATGTGTGGCGAAAAACATGCAAAAAAGGCCTGAAAATGGCTGTTTTTGGTGATTTTAGGCATTTTGGGCCTATTTTTGACCTTTTTTGCATGTTTTTCGCCACACATTGTTGTCTACATTGCGTTAAACTTTAAGACCCATTACAAAACTTTATCAGGCAGTAGTTGACATCTTTGGGAAGCTTTTTACATAGTTTAGGAAATGAAAGTCCGGTTCGAACTCGATTAGATTTCATCATTTATGTCCCTTTGGCAGTTTTTTTGCTTTACACTTACCTAGATTGTTCCAATCACTTTGGCATATTTTTTTTCTGAAAATTTGGACAATTTCCAACAAAAAAGTTGCTGGGCACTTTTACTTTTGAATCATTCTACCCTGATCCAGGAATTATTTGAATATTTGTGATTTTTCATGAATTTCAAAAAAACCCTAAAATGGCCAACTTCTGGCCCCTGAAAAAGAGTGATAGCTGGTCCCAAAAATTCTAATAAAATTTGGGGACATTTCTGACATCGGAAACAGCAAGTTTTTCATATTTGCAGAAAAAAAAATTTTTTGGCCATTCGATTTCACAGAGAATCGGCCATATACATGCGTGGATAAACGACAACAATTTTTCCGACATGGACGCTTCGTTCGAGTAATCAAAGAATGACCAGATTTGAAATGTTTTAAAATACATTGCCATTCATTGACTCGTATTTGGTGATTTTTCTATTGCAATTGTGTTAAAATTGTTCAGTGCCTTTTAAATGCCCTAAAAACGATGATTTGATCGTTTCAAAATATTTCTACCGGTCTTCAACCGCTTTGATTACTGTTACTTTGAGCCATTACCGCTAGATGGCGAGTATACCTTTATCCGTAAATCTGCAAGTAGCAAAGTCAAAATAATTGTATAAGTAGAAGCACGGGTTTTTATTTAACTCACGTCTCCCTTTCCTATCCCGAGGTTGTATTGATGCTAAAATAATTTATATGGTTTTTTAAAAAATTTGTTATTTTTCCATAAACATAAAATGATACCGACTATTGCACTCCCATTTATAACTAGTCATCAACGAGACTAATATTACGCTAATTATCATATTATTTGCGTCAAGTGGTAACACGAACGCTTACAAAAACAACAAAATGTAGAACGATTCAAGTCGTGCTACGCACGCATTTATAATCTCAGCTATATAATAAACATACATAAAATTAAAACTATTCGCTTAGATTTGATACCCGTTCGATCAAGAGCGATCGAGAAATTACCATTTTTCTCGCTCGTTTTTTTAACTTTGACGATCAGTTATCATCATTGCGCAGCCGTTTCAAATCGACCAGCATATCGAGCTTTGGTTCCTCACGCCCTTTTCGTGTCGCTGCGGCCCTAGATCGACTGCGGTACGCGACTATTATATACGATGATTGAAATGCCAATCGTCGCGGAGATCCGATCGTTGCTAGCCAAAAATGTTCAATTCCAGCTTTGATCCCGAATCTCACGTGGTCACGTTGGGTATACCGTATAACATTCTCGTATCAGAATGATAATTCAGAAGAAAGCTCGAAAGTGCAGCCGCAGTACACGGAGGGAAAATTATCGCCGACGCATCCGCTCGGCCAAGTTCGGAAGACGACTTTTCCCTCCGCCATTGTGTTATCCCAAATAGGCCTAGTAGCACCAAACACGCTGAAAGAGAGAAGAAAGCTCGAGTGTACCTGTATATAGCAGTAACAGTACATATGTGCCAAATGCGCAGAACTAACACGTGCTATGCTCATCCAGCTCGAGCCCGCGCGCGAGCGACGACGACGATCGTCTCTTAAATTCAGCGCGTGCAGGTCTCCGGTTCACGCGAGTGAATACAAGCAGATAGCGCGTATGTGCTGTACTGTATATGATGCACCCTCCTATACTCGTCGAGCTTATAACGTCGAGGCTTCCTCTCTGTCTCTCTCTCGAGTGAACCGCAGCAGCCCCGAGGCAATAACTATATAAGTATGCAACTCCGTACGACGACGACGACGACAACGCGCCTATAGACTGCTGCTGCTGCTCTATGCACGCGATGAACGGCCCGCAAACCATGTCTATAAACTCTCTCTCTCTTCTCTCTTATACCTCCCTCCCCCCCTCGCGCAGCAGCTTTTGCCCGACTTTTCTTTCCTGTACTATGCCTCCCTCCGTCCCTCTCGCCTCCCTCCTACGCGTTTACCCTCTTGCTCGCAGCTCGAGCTTGCAGCAACTCGTCTTTTGCTTCGTCGCTGCTTTTCGAGCCACCGCTGCTGTTACCGCTGCTGCTGCTGCTACTTTTTCCTGGGCAGAAAACTTTCTTTTTTTTTTTTTACTCTGCACTCCCTCCCCCTCACCAAGACTCGACAGCAGCCACTGCTACTGCCACTTCGTTATTATTACGACGACGACGAGTGACTTTTGTCATTTTTGTTTTGTTGTTCATCGAAGCGCAATGCGTGCGGATATCGAAAGCTCGAGATTATACGCGTAAAAATTGTTATTACGTTTCTGGTACTTTTACGAATGTTTGTACCGGTATATTCGAGTGGCCGTGCTTTGATGACCATATTTTACTTTAAAATTACAATTAATGATTTTTATTCGTGAAAAATTAAAGCTGCTGTTGCTTTATGAAACGGAATTATGATACTTTCATTAAAAGTGTCTGAAAATCACAAAATATCAATGAACTCAGAACCGAGGTAAGCGCGTTGAAAATCTCACGTTGCCGCTAGGTGGCGCAGAGCCGAATTCTCATAAAACCCAAAAGAGAAAAGGCAAAGTTTTAATATTAAGTAGGAGAGCTTACTATATATGACATCAACTAATGACAGATTTGTATTCTAAATGCAGATTTACATTATCATCGGATCGAAAATTGACTTTCTAACTTCAGACTAAAACTCAGTCAATTACCATCGGTTCTGGACGATTTGCTGAATCTTTAATGTCTTTGTAGTACGAAATACATTTGAGCAAGGTTCTATGGAAATGCATGGATATTGGGTTGTCAATAAGACATTCATTCATCGCTTCACACAACTCTTTTGGATCCCAACTTGCACAATCGAGTCTTCTTCTCCAAGTCAGGCATATCATGTAGATTTTCCTCAAGATTGCAAAATAGCCTTCATCCCTTGTGTTAGCGCAAGCTGCAAATAATATGCCTTCGACATACCGTTGTACAAAGAATTTACCGAAAGATTCTAAAGTGTTTTCTATAAGAACATTCATGCATTCATCTGGCCTTATTGCTGGATTCTCGAGTGTCATCGTACCTATGAGATTGGATGGAACGAACAAAGAGTTATGGCAAAAAGTCAGATGAGAAGGATCTTCTTTCATTATAGCATTTTGCCTGATCACAAGAATCTTGCCACATTTTGAGTACCATTTCATTGACCAGTCGTTGTTTCTTACAAAATATTGTGTCTGCCCATCACTCTTCAATAATTCTATTGTTAGAATGTTCACTTTGTCCGTGGGAGATTTGGCATGATGTGGACCTCTTATCACAAGCCCAGAAACATATCTGTAGTCCTTACCATTGTCATCTCTTGTATTTGCTAAAATTGGCATGCAGGCAACATAATCATGTGTAGTCTTGGTATCACTTGTTGGTGTGTGAACAAGATAAGAACCACCTAATCTAGAGTAAATGTTTGTCAATTTAGTATTTAATACTGCTACTTTTGTTCTAGAAACCAAGTCAATTATCTTGCTACAAGCTTGAGACGATAAACAGTCTAATGGATGATCGTAGTCTTTATATGATTCTTTCAATCCTTCTTTTAACAGTGTTATTGGATTTCCTTATAAATCATGCTCTTCACCCATCATCCTAATAATTTGGTCAAAATAAGTATCATATATTTTCGATTCAATGACAGGATATTCTGGTTGAACTGTTTCATCATCATAAGGATCGAATGCTCTATTTTTCTTTCCTATTCCTAAAAGGTCATAAATTGTTTCTCTCTCCAGATGTGACTCAAACTGCAACATAAAATTAGTTGAAGTAGGGTTTAAGTTAACATTGCAAATGCCTTGAAGAAGATTCGGGTGAGGATTTTGGAAATTTGAGGTCCATTCCATTGACAATAGGTTTGATGCAAATTCAGTGACAATATGATGATCATTCTCACAATTGGAAAGCATGTTAACTACCCATCCTTCAGGCATGATCTTACCTTTCCATTTTATAGTTCCTTCTCTCTCTGGCTCATATTGTATATGATCCTTGAGAAAGTAAAAAATCACCCAAATCTATTGGGTCCGGCGATTCCAGTACTGATTTTCTGTTAATCAAGTCATTGGTGAATATCCAATGGTAGACTCACCACTTCTGCCCAAGTTGCTTGGGGATGACACT